AAGTTGATTATTAGGGACAGCCACTAAATGTTTATTTTAGTCACTAATCAAGTAATAACCAATAGAGGAACAAAGTTAATAATCTATATATTTTTAAGCCTGGTTCTTCCAGACTTATTGATATCAGTTACTGATGGAGACAGACCAGCTACCTGTATTGGAGTGAGAGATCTCTGCCTCTGTCATTGATCCTAGGTGAGACTGATTAGGTTATTGCTGTGCCAATCCAATACCAGTTGCCACCTACACAAACTCTGAGTGGAAGACAGATAGCCTGTGTCATTGCTCCTAGTTTGGGACTTGTTTGGTAATATGTGCCTTGCCCTTGCAATTGTTAAAATGATCCAAGTGTGAGACAGGTGAGGTGGTTAGGTTACTGCACGGGTAGGACATCTTTTAGTAGTGCTGTACCAAAAGAAGATATTGAAACCCTTTTGGAGTGCCAGTGCTATTTTTGTTAAATTGTGGGGTGTATGTTGCAGTATTCTGCTTGTGTTATTTATGGGTGCTACAGTTGCTTTGTAACATTGTATCTGTGTTTATGTGGGCTGTTATACTGCATATGTTCATGAGTAGTTTGTGGTAATGTGTATGATACCTATGAACCGGGGCTGCTTGTGGAATTGTGTGTCTGGATAATTTGTCACAATATGTTTGGTGTGTGTATGTGTGGGGTTGCTTGTGGTAACAAACGTGAGAGGCTGCTTGTGAGGTTGTGTGCATATATGTGCATTAGTAGTGGTGTTGTTTCTGGTCACTGTGAGTTTTTGTATGAGGTGAGGCCAGGGCCGGACTGGGCCACCGGGATACCGGGAAATTTCCCGGTGGGCCGCAGCAACTGGGGCTGGGCTGACAGCCCTAATTAGTGATCAGGCTCCTATAATCCCAGCCGGCCATGTGTGAGCTATGCGGCCGCACAGGGCCCCATGGGAGCAGGGGGAGCCAGGCGGCCGGCACAGCTCACATATGGCCGGCTGGGATTATTTAAAAAAAAAAAAAAGAATATTGCGGCGGGGACGGAGCTTAGTGTGAGGCGGAGGCGGAGCTTAGTTACAGCAGGGCGGAGCTTAATGTGCGGCAGGGGAGGGTCTTCCTGTGCGGCGGGGGCCCTTTTAACTGCAGCATGGGAAGCAGGAAGGAGTCCCTGCTTCCCCAACAACAAGCTTGCAGGAGCTCCATGGGATGTGGAGGTAAGAAGCAGGTCAGTGTGTATGTGTGACTGCCTGTGAATGTATGACTGTGTGACTGTGTGTGTGACTGCCTGTGTGTGTGTGTGTGTGTGTGTGTGTGTGTGACTGTCTGCCTGTGTGTGTGTGGCTGTCTGTCTGTGTGTGTGTGTGTGTGTGGCTGTCTGCCTGTGTGTGTGTATGTGGCTGTTTGTCTGTGTGTGTGTGTGTGGGCTGTCTGCCTGTGTGTGTATGTGTGTGACTGTCTTACTTACTGTGTGTGTGTGATGGCCAGGCAATACGTATCAGTGTAGCACAAGTTCAGTTACGTATTGCTAAATAAATAAAACTTAACCTTTATTAATAATAGGTAAAATAATATAATGCAAACACAAAAATTAAAAAAAAAAGTATAATGAAAATGAGGAGTGCCACCACAATCACTGTGGATGTGGACAATGAAAGTCAATCATATGTTGTCCTCCCTGAGGGCTTTATTGAGTGATAGAGGAGACCTTCTAAAAGACAAAGTGGCATCAACAAAACAAGAACATATTCGCTGTGTAGCCACGTTTGATTCTGGATGGGACCAGACCAAACGGATACTAGGCAGGTTCTGGCCTCTGATCTCACAAGATCCCCAACTCAAGGGCGTTGTGACTCCATTCGTTTCCCTCACTGCACGAAGAGGTAGAAATCTAAAAGAAGTTTTGGTTCCCAGCCATTTGTCCACCAAAAGTGCCAGTACAAATTGGCTTTC